TCCAGCGAAAACTTCCCTTTTTCTGTTCCCATTTCTAATGAAAACGTTGTTTCCTTTTGCATTCTTCTTTCCCTTGACAAAAACCGTCTTTTTTTTCTTGCATGCACTGTTTTATCTCGGTTATATTTCATTTTCAAATGCCGTTCCTCATGCAATTTTTTCTCGTGCAAACGCCGCTTTTTGTGTTCTTTTTGCCCCTGTAAACACCGTTGCTCCTGTTGTCTTTTCTGGTTTTCCTTCACTTTTAAACACTGCTTCTCACATTTTCACTTCACTTGCAAACGACGCTTTTCTGGTTCATCTTCTTCCTTGTAAACTCCGTTTTCCTTCATTTTTTCTCTATTATCTGCCGTTTCTCCGGTTCTCTTTTCGCATTTAAGCGGCGTTTCTCATGTCCCCCTTTCTCTTGTAAACGCCGTTTCTTTCTAGCGAAAACTTCCCTTTTTCTGTTCCCATTTCTAATGAAAACGTTGTTTCCTTTTGCATTCTTCTTTCCCTTGACAAAAACCGTCTTTTTTTTGCATGCACTGTTTTATCTCGGTCTTATTTGATTTTCAAATGCCGTTCCTGATGCAATTTTTTCTCGTGCAAACGCAGCTTTTTCTGTTCTTTTTGCTCCTGTAAACACCGCTGCTCCTGTTGTCTTTCCTGGTTTTCCTTCACTTTTAAACACTGCTTCTCACATTCCCACTTCACTTGCAAGCGACGCTTTTTTGGTTCATCTTCTACCTGGTAAACTCCGTTTTCCTTAATTTTTCTCTCTTATGTGCCGTTTCTCCGGTTCTCTTTTCGCATTTAAGCGGCGTTTCTCAGGTCCTCCTTTCTCTTGCAAACGCCGTTTCTTCTGCGGTTTGTTCCAGCGAAAAATTTCCTTTTTCTGTTCCCATTTCTAATGAAAACGTTGTTTGCTTTTGCATTCTTCTTTCCCTTGACAAAAACCGTCTTTTCTTCTTGCATGCACTGTTTTATCTCGGTCTTATTTCATTTTCAAATGCCGTTCCTCATGCAATTTTTTCTCTTGCAAACGCCGCTTTTCTGTTCTT